GGGGCGCGCGCCTTCGCCGCCGCGCGCCTGCGCCCAGGTCACCGCGAGCGACCTGCGGCACCTGCCTGCTGTCATCTGTCCCCATCTCTCCGCCTGGATCCTGGGATGCTCGTCCAGTGCCGGCCTTCTGTCCCGCCGCCCATCTTGTCTCCCGGCGTCCAGCTTCTTCACTGGCGTCCACATCCGGGGCCATTGTCGGTGACCACGCCCCCGCAAACTCCAAGTCCCACCTAACGCTTTGCTGACGCCTCCGGGAATACGCTCCTCTCTCGCCCCCACCTTCGCCCAGCCACCATCTGTCGCTCCTGGGGGTCCAGGACCTTCTTATGGAACCTCTCGTTCCCCCGAGTCCCCTGCCCCCGTAACCCGTTCCCATCCCCAGCCAGAGGATCCAGGTGGCGCTTCCCCCTCAGTCCCTCCCCTGGCTGCATTACTCCCCGAGGGCAGATACTTAAGATTGTTGCTTGAGTGGACAGAGCTGTGGCTGGCGCCAGGAGCAGGCTGGACCTCCTAACGGCCCACTCTGGGTGAGTGGGGAGGGTGCGGTGGAAGACCACCCAGGAAGCAGAGGGGTGATCTGCACACCTGGTTCTTCCCCGCAGGTGTCTTCCTAGCCCGGGGGCCATGATTTATGCTCGGGTTGGAGGCAGATCCTGGGCGGGAAACCCAGGTGCATGCCAGTGTCTGTCGCTCAGGATTCCTCATGGCCCTTCCCTCCTGGGCTCCCTATGGGGCAGCTGCAGAGTCCCACGCTGCCTCGGGTGAGCAGGGCTGCTCCCACACAGAATGAAGGGCAAAGTGGCCAAGCGGGCACCTTGAAAGGGCAGTCTCAGGGTGACAGAGCTGGCTCGAAGCCTTCGGCTCCTGCCTGCAGAGTTCAGGCTGAACCCCGGCCTCCGTGGAGGGCGACGCTCCTAAGCATTTGGTGGATTTTCCCGCGTGCAGACGATTTCTCACGTAAGGGCTTATGGCTGCAAGGATGTACACATTCATTATAAGTAGTGAAACCACCTGAAGACGTAGAAAATACTAATCCCCCTGTGTTGGGGGTCCCAGAATCACCCCTACATCCTGCTTGCAGTGCTTTGGGGCGTATGCAGATGTGAAATTCCAGAAGCGGAGTTGCTGGGAACCACCATCCTGTCCACAGCTGCTGCCTCGTTGCACAGTGCCACCCGCGCGTGAGGGTTCCAGTCTCGCCACATCCTTGCCAACACTTGTTATTTTCTGGGTTTCGTTTTTGGTTTTGATAATAACCACCGTGATGGGTGCATGGTGTTGGGGCACAAGATTTTGACCTCAGGGACCGCTGTCAAATACACACCCTGTGCGCCCCCACCTTGTCAGGAATCCTACCCTGGGCCCTCACCTGCTCCTCAGAGAACCTGGCCCACGCCGGTGCCCTGGGATCGTCCCTCGAGGGGCTGGTCCAGAGGCCCTATGTGCTGGCACGTGACCTCAGGAGGGAGGGACGGGGCTGTCCACTCGTCCTCTTCGGCGGGGCCCTCCTCACACCTCCTCCCAGGCCGGCTGGCTCATTCCCCAAGCAGACACCCCCCTTTGGCCAATCTCCGCAAGTGGAAAAAGAGAATTTAAACCAGAGGTGTCATATGAGGAACCTTTAGAATAGACTTTCTATGGCAGAGTGCCCCCCCTAGGCACTGGTGACATCAGGCAGGTCACACTGTGGGAGGCCGTCGTGAGCACTGTGGGGTGATGAGCAGCATCCCTGGCCTCACCCACTCGATGGCAGGAGCGCCCCCAGTGTGACACCCACAGATGTCCTCAGGGACTGCCAAGGACCCTGCAAGCTAAAACGAGGCTAAGGAGGCACTTTCCCAGGGCACAAATTTAGAGGGTGCCAAATACCTCAGTCATTAGAAGGAATGGTGTCTAATGTAATATTGTAACAATTCAAAATGAATGCAAAAAACTTGTGAACAAAATGTCAGAATTCTAAGTAAATACAGGATTGAACAGTGCTGTACGAGGCCACTTCGGAGACCAAGACAAAGTGAGAAATGTGCCCTTTATATATGTTTTTACGTTCTTTAAATGGTTAACTTTTACCCCCGATCATTAAAGTGGTTGAAAAAGTATTACGATATCGAAAAAGAATTTTCTTATTGTAAATTCAATAATTTAACTTAAATATACTATTTGTACCAAAACTTGAATTTATTAGAATTTCACTTTTCTGGTTTTCGCAGAGGCAAACTCATATCTATTTTATTTTTTAAATATGTGTCCACTTCTAGATTTCTGAAAATTCAATTTATTGTGTACTGTCGGTTGACAACATGTGAACTTCAGCTGTACGACTCTGTCACATGGCACCTGTGTGGTCCATGGCGTGCCAGCCACCCAAGGCCCGGTTAGGCCCCTTCTGTCTCCTCCTATCTGACCCCTTCACCCTCTCTTGCTCCGCCCACCCTCTTCTCCTCTGGTAACCACCATTCTGTTGTCTGTATTTGTGAATTTGTTTCTTCATTTTGTCTTATGTCCCACATGTGAGTGAAATCGCATGGTTCCTGTCCTTTTCTGTCTGACTTATTTCGCCAGCATGATACACTCAAGACCCAGCCATGGTGTCACAAATGGCAGGATTTCATCTTCTCTCATGGCTAAGTGATATTCCATTGCACACGTGAACTACTTCATCGCGTCATCTATGGAAGGGCACTTTGGTTGTTTCCATGTCCTGGCTGTTGTGAATAATGCTGCAATGAATATCGGGGTGCATGTACCTTTATGAATGTTTTCAAATTGTGGGGTAGATATCCAGAAGAGGGATTACTGGGTCATGAGGTAGTTCTACCTTTAGTTTTTTGAAGACCTTCCATACTGTTTTCCACAATGGCTACAGCAGTTTACACTCCCACCAACAGTGCATGCGGTTTCTTCCCCACGACCTGTGCAACACTTATTTTTGTTGATAGCAGCCATTCTGACAGGTGAGGTGGTGGCTCTTTGTGGTGTCGATTTGCATTTCCCTGATAGCTAGTGAGGTCGAGCACCTTTTCACATAACGGGGCCATCTGTATGTCTTCCTTGGAAAGTGTTCAGGTCTTCTGCTCGTTTTAATAGGACCGTTTGTTTTGTTGCTGTTGAGTTGTACGAGTCATTTATATGTTTTGGATATCAGCCCCTTATCAGAAATATGGTTTGCAAATCTCTCTCCCATTCAACTGGTTGCCATTTTGCTCTGCTGAGTGTTCCTCTGGCGATGCAGCTTCTAGTTTGACGTACTTCCATTTGTTTGTTTTTCATTTCTCTCGCTTTAGGGGTCAAGTTCACAAAAACTCACCTGAGACCAAGGACGATAAGTTCAGTGCCTATGTTTTCTTCTATGTGTTTTATCGTTTCAGGTCTTACATTTAAGTCTTTAATCAGATGGCAGGCTAGTTTCACTCTTGCGTGTGGCTGTCCAGTTTTCCCAGAATCATTTTTTGAAGAGTTTCCTGGTTGTATGTTTTTGGCTCCTTCGTTGAAAATTAGTCGCCCGTGTGAGTGGGTTTCTTTCTGGGCTCTCAGTGCTGCCCCCTTGGTCTCGTGTGTTTTTCTGCCAGTGCCATGCTGTTGTGATCGTGGTGGCTTTGTAGTCCACGGGGAAGTCAGGGAGTGGGGTGGCCTCGGTTGTTGCCAGTGCCTGATGGGTGTTTCTCTTCCTAAGCACCTGACACCTGTTAGGCGCTGGTTTGCGCTATGGTCGCGCTGGTTTCTGCTATGGTCTCGCAGGTTGATAAGCAGACGTCTCTTTTGCTTCCAGCAGGTGGTGCTAGAGCGCGGTTTCTCACCTGCCCTAGGCGCACCTGCAGGATGGATTGGGGGAATGGTGTGGCCCGTCGTGGAAAGCGCCCCATGTTCCCCGAAGTGGTGGGCGTCCCCGCCCCCCATGTCCAGGTCTCAGGGCTCCACCCCCGTGGGGCGACCGGTGCTGCCTCCTTGTAGCCAGTGGCCGCCAGCCGCGCTGTCCCCTGCGTCTCCGCTGCCCCTCCCGGGCGCCCCCTCCCTGGATCGGCCGCGGTGGTGGTGGGGAGGTCGCCAGTCTGCTCTTTGCTTCCTCGCTGGTAGCAGGGGCCCCCTAGTCCGCGGCTGCCACCCCGCCGTGCAGCGCTTCCGCCCTGTCACTGGGTTTAGCCACACTGGGAACTGGCCACCCTGGAGTGTGGCTTCTGCCCCTCCTGCCCCCGGCCTGCCGCCTGACTCCTGCAGCGCCACTTTGGGTTTAGCCACACTGGGAACCGGCCACCCTAGAATGTGGCTTCTGCCCCTCCTGCCCCCGGCCTGCTGCCTGACTCCTGCAGCGCCACTGGGCCAGTGGGGCCGCCCCGCACCAGACCGCGTCTGCAGCCCGTGTCTGTCCTTCCCCATCCCGCCTCCCCTGCTCGTTCTGTGCACCACCTCAGAAGTCCCCTGCTCAGATCTCAGACGTGTTTGTGTGCTGAGCAGGGTCCTTTGAGTGACAGCTGTCGGGCTTGTAACGTTTAGGGGAGAAGCCAAGGGGTCCTCTCTGCCATGATGCTTAGTCAGCCATTATTTTCATTAAAGCCATTACCCATCACAAAAATACATAAAAACATGGGAATCGGGGCACGTTTCCTTATGCTCGGCCCAGCCTCGCTCACCTAACTGCATGAGTTAGAAATTGTTAACTCGTTTATGTCACAATTTGCCACTTTCCTATGTCTGAAAGAACATCACTCCATGGCTGTTATAATGGCAAGTGACAGGAAATGAACTTTCCTGGATAACCAACTAGTTAATAAGTGTCGATACTAGGCAGCTGTTTTACAAACTGAGGACTCTGCGTTTTCTGCACTGGCCCGGCCTCCAGGAGATAAGCCTTAGGTCAAAAAAGGTGCAGAACAGTGCGTAGCAAATGCCAGCACCTGTGTTAAAATCATAGTGCCGTTGGGCACTGAGTACCTGCCCCCTGAAACCTTGTGAAGCCCCCACCCCTAGCGTGGCTGTGTCTGGAGATGGAGCCTGAGGGTGTGCAGCCTTGAGGCCGGTGGGTGGGGCCCTGATCCCGTGGGATCAGTGTCCTTGTGAGGAGACACCAAAATGCCCAGTCCTCTTCCTCCCTGGGCTGCGCAGCAAACCAGGGCTGTGTGACATCGAGGCGGGAGTCCTCGCCAGAAACCAACCCTGCCGGCTCCTTGGTCTCAGACTTCCAGCCTCTAGGCCCTGGGAAAATTCAAAATACGTTCAATACCCAAATTCTGTTGTTTAGGCCACCCGGTCTGGGCTGTTTTGTTACTGGAGCCCGAGCAGACTAATATGACACCTGTTTTCACAAATGTGCTTATATCAGCATGGAACATTTCTAGAATTTTTGAGAACTTGGCAAGAGCTGGAGAGAACTGGGCAGGGGCACCAGGGAGAGAACGGACTGTGTCGCATCCTTGCTGGTTCTGTGCCCCTCGTGTGATGGTTTGACACAGCTCTAAGTTCCGATCCCCCCTTTCCAAACCCAGCCTCGTTCCCGACCCCGAGGGCGTGGGCTGGACGCGGGGATGTGGTCCTCGCGAGTGGAGCGTGTGGCAAGAGAACAGAGTGATGGAGTGAGCCTTCCCAGGTGGGTCATACAGGACAGGTGGCTCCTGCCTGCTCTCTGGGACCACTTGCTGGGCCGGGTAGAGCCAGTGGCTGCTCAAGCACTGCTGTGCGGGTCACAGGGAGGCCTGCCACCAGCAACCACACAAAGACACCATCGAGAAGGGGGTCCTCAGCTCCAGTAGAGCAGCAGCCCCCGCTCCCACCCAGCGGCTTGGCTACAGCCTCCTAACGGACCCGGAGCCAGGACCGCCCACACAATCACTCCCAAATTCTCACCCACGGAAACTGAAAATAATGTTTTTCATGGGGTACTTTCTTAAGATAGCAATAAACAAACTCTGCAGCTATTATCCATCTTAAATAATCAATTTCTGCCAGCTACTGGGAAACTCCTAGATTTGCAAAATTTTGGAGTGGAAGGGACTGCCAGGTCCCCCTAGCCGCCAAGTAACCACGTCGCCAGCATCACCACGTCTGGGCGGGGCAGGTTTCAGAGCGAAGTTTAATGCTGTGTGCGCTCACACATCAAAGTCGTTTTTGGAGATGCCGTACAGAGTCCTGAGCCTCACTGTGAGGCTCCGAGGTCCGAGGAATGGCTTGGGCCATTCCACACGTAGCAGGCACTGATGAGGAAGCAGGTGGCACCGCCAGTCACCTGGAGGGGGGACGAGGCAACATGAGCGGAAGGCCTTGCTCAGATGGGGAGGGAGCAGGGTCAGACGCCGCAGCCGGGGTTCGGGTCCCCATCTGTGGGACAGGTAAAATCACATGCAGTCTGTCATGTGGGGAGCACAGAGACAGGCACGCTGGGGACAAATGGAAGAGTCTGGGAGTGATGACTGCTCAAAGCCGTCCATGCTGTGGACCAGCCTCCACTGTCCCCATCTCTAAACTGGGCATCCCTCTGTCCCACCCAGGGCTGGGCAGATTGAGATGGCAGGCAGGGCGCACGGCCGGCCTCCAGGATCGAGCACCAGGGGCAGTGCCCACTCCAGGGTGAACAGTCCCGGTGAGCCTCCCAGCCCTGGACGCTCACCCCTCTGCTGGTGGGAATCACGGGGTTTCCGCCACAGCCGCTGAAACTCACCAGTGGGGGCCCGTGAGGGGCAGATTAGCTATCATTCTTAAACTTGCCGTTGATGTAGGGCACCCAGTCCAGAATCAGCCGCCAATCGGTGGCCCACACCAGCCCCACGGCGCCCACGGCACCCCACGTGCCCGCCGTGGGAATCCTGCAAGGACACCGGGGGTCAGGCCCTGCTGGGGGCTCATCCTCCCGGCAGGGGACCCTGAAGTGACTCCACTCCCATCTGCTTTCATACAGGCATCTGTTAAGGTTTTGAGGAATTTGCTGCTAAAACCACCAAGCTTGAAACCACCGTAATAACTAATGTTTGCATGCAGGCACCCTGTGCACAATTTATAGCGATTTGTGGGCCCTTTGAAGGCTGAAGCAGGCTTGAGTATCAGGATCTCTGTTCTGTTGAGACCGAGGCACAGAGAAGGCGGGTCACTGCCCTGAGGACAGTCTCATCTCACTTCTTTACTTTTTCTTGTCCACTGACTAGAATGTCAGCTACAAAGGTTCCATTTATCACTGTCTCTGGCACCCAACAGTGCTAGGTGTGAACACACAGTGGGTGCTCAGTAAGTGCTTACTGACTGAAAGCCTGGATGAGGCTGTTGCTGCTCTGACCAAGCCCAGATGAGAATGGACCAGCTGAGCTGCGGGAAGTCCGAGCCCCCAGCGGTAGGGACTGCGTGGGCGCTCGTGGTTCTCACCGTCCAGGGCCCAGATCGCCCCAGCTGTTAATCAACACCACCAGTGTTTACCTTACGATCCCTGCCACAGCCATCCCCCACCCCTCTCCCTGCCCGAGCTCGGGGACGCGACTGCCAAGTGCAGGCCCTGCTTTCTTAGTGTCTCGCGTCGTGAGCACCAGGCAAGCCCTTACCGAGGTCACCCCGATCCTGCTGCCACGTGGGGGGCAGGGACAGGTGCAGCCACTGCATTTAAGCTCCCCGTTCAAGATCATTTCAAAAGCCAAACAAAAGCAAAGCCAGGAACGAACAGGATCAGTTTTCAGGCCCCAAGAGCTGAGTCGAGGGTGCTGGTCGGGGACAGGGTGGGTGCCTTTCTGGTAGGCACTGTCGCGGTCCCCAGGTGCAGGTGGAGAAATTGGGGCTCAGAGAGGCTCGGCCATGGGGCCGGGAGCACGCCACGTATGTGCGCCCGGGACAGAGCGCTTCGCCTCTTTGCGCCTCAGTATCCCCATCTGCGGTCCGACAGGATTTGGGGTCTGGGTCTAGGGGCGGTGCTGCGCGCACTGATGGGGCCACGCGGCGGCGGCGCGGACCGCGGGGAGCGGAGGTCGGGGCTGCGTCCTCACCAGTTCTTGGCCAGTTGGCGGTAGCGCGGGCCCAGGAACCTGGTCAGCATCACGGCGCCGTCCCCAGCTCAGGGTGACCCCAGTTACGCCCGGCCCGGACGCACTGCGCAGGCGCGCAGAGAGGCCCCGCCCCGGGCCGACCAATCTCGCGGTGTCCGGGCCGGCGGCCGCTGCGCGCGCAGACCCGGAAGACCTTAATAGTGACTTCCGGGGAGGGCCGGAGGAAGTAGGCGCGGGCGAGTGGGCGGTGACTGGGGGGGCGGGACTTTGTGCTCACGTGATCAGGGCTCGCCCGCTCGGTCTCCGCCCCTGGCTGTGCCGCCCCGGGCGAGTAAGTGCGGCCCGCGTCGTTTGGCTGGCGTCCTCACTACGTGCGATGACCTCATTTACAGTCGGTGAAACTGAGGCCAGACAGGGGGACGCCTTGTCTAGGGTCGCGCAGAGCGGCAGGCCGAGCTCTGAACCCTCTTCGGGAGGACTCGCGCTGTCCGTCACAGACTCGCTGTCCGTGGAGCCCAGGCCAGAGGGCAGCGCTTCCCGGAGCCTGTTTGCTCCTCGCGGGTTGTCTTGTTATGGGACATTTTCGGCACGTTTCCCGTCGAGAGCGCGGTGCTTCCAACTTCCGGCAGCGGTGGGAGCCGGGTCGGCCCCGAGGACACCCGGGTCCCCGATAGCGGCGCGTCGCCCCCAGACCCGCTCGGGCCCCGGCGTCGGATGCAGCAGGTCTGGAGGTAAGCTCCAGACGCCGTGGGCTTGCCGCCCGGCCCGGCCGCCTGGGATCCGCTCCCAGCGCCCTCGACCCTCGGGGGCCGCAGGTTTCCACCTGCCCCTGGCCTCGGACTGAGGGCGGGAGCCGGCAGGAGTGTGTAGTGATCTGGTTGGTTTCTCGGTCTTTCCAGTGGCCCCTGGAGTTTCTGAGTTTAGTATCAGGACCGGAAAAAGCCTCTGCACTTGATGGAAACATAGAAAGTGGGACGTGGGGCCGTTCTGAAGATCGAGAGGGACGGAGCAAAGCTTCCCGTGAACAGGAGCAGAGATGGCCACGGAGGCATGGGCTGCAGGTCCTGGGTCCCGTGCTCCCGCAGGCCCCGCCTCCACCGCTCCCCCTGCCAGATGCACCTGTGCGCAGGGCTTTCTGCTCCAAGAGGCACGCAACAGAAACGGCATGAGAGAGAAGGACGTTTCCCTGCACGTTGGACAGCTTCAGGCATGGCTGGATCCAGGAACCTAGCAGTGTCATTTCAGACCGCTCCGTCTTTCAGCTTTTTTTTCCTCCGTGTCGCCGGGAAACTGCATTGACATTCACAGGACCCTTACAGGAAGGGGGTACCTCATTCCCAATTATCGCAAGAAATGTCCCAGGGCTGGTTCTTGTTGGCCTGCTGTGGAAACGGCAGTCAGCCCCTCCCACGTGAGCACACAGGCTGAAACTGGGGGAGGAGGGGACCCCAAATGAGAACCACCGGGATTCTGTAACCAGAGATGCTGGACGGCAGGTCTGGCCTCCTGTGTTCCCTGTGGGTTCCTGTTAGCCCCTCAGGGGAAACCGAAGTCCTTGTCCTATATTATTGGTGTGAAATTCACGTAGCACACGACTAACCATTTTACAGTGTACAGTTCAGTGCTACTTGGTGCATTCACGAGGTTGTGCAACCAGCACCTCTATCTACTCCCAGGACACTTTCATCTCTCCTAAAAGGCACCCCGTCCCCCTTAGCAGTCACCCCCACTCCCTCTCCAGCCTCTGACCACTCACTCACTCTCCCTGTGGATGTCCCTGTTCTGGATGTTTCACATTAATGGAATCACACACCGTGTCCAGCTTCTCTCACTGAGTGCCGTGTGTTCGGCGTCTGTCCACGCCGTGGCGAGTGTCAGCGCCTCCCCTGCTTTTCATGGCCGAGGGACACTCCCCGTGTGGACGGACACGCTGTGCTGTGTGTGGCCCTCGTGTCGATGGATTCTTTTAAAATTTCTACAACTTTACTGAGGTATATTTGACATAAGAAACGTACACATTTAAGACACCCATCTTGGTGCTGGACATGGGCGTGCCGGCGTCGCCATCACTGCGTGCTGTGGGACACCTGCCGCCCTCCTGGCCCAGGCAGCCACTCTTCTGCTCTCTGCTATTAGTAGTGTGCAGCTTCCAGAGGCTTCCACAGAAGGAATCACGTCGTACATCCTCGGCGCCTGGCTCTCCCAGGGAGCGTGGCCCTTCTGTCATCCGGCTTGCGCGCCCGTCAGCGGGCTGTTCCCTCTGTTGCCGAGTGGCGTTCCGTGCAGCGCGTGGACCTGTTTACTCGCCTGTTGAAGGACTTTCAGTTATTTCTAGGTTTTTCCATGGGAATGGAGCGGTTCGAGCGAGCGTGCCCAAGCTGTTTGTGACGTGTCTTCATCCCCGCTGGGTGTCGGCCTCGGGGTGGAGCATCGGCTCACAACGGAGTGTGTGTTTTAATTGTCGAAGCTGCCAGACTCTTCCTTTCAACCCAGGTACAACCGACGTCGGACAGCACGCCAGTCGCAGGTGTCGTGCCGCTGTTTTCTGAAGCAGGTGCACCCGTCCGTGTTCCCACCAGCCCCATCTGAGAGTCCTGTCGCATCTGGACGTTTTATCCTTTGAAAGAAGACGCACGCTATTCGTTTCCCATAGGGGTCCACGCTGGCTGGCTTCACACGAAAGAACCTATACCGTCCTGGTTCTGGGCCCACGCGTCTTTGAGACCACAGTGTGGCGGGGCCGTGCTCCCTCTCGAGGCTCCGAGGGTCCCTCCCGCCTCTCCGAGCTTCTGGGCGCTCCAGCGTCCCTGGCCTGTGGCCACATCACCCCAGCCCCTGCCTCCATCACCATGTGGCCTCTTCCTGTGCCTCTCTCTTCTAAGGACACCTGTCATTGCTTCGAGGCCCACCTGGCTGGTGGAAAACGACCACACCTTCCTGAGCTTTGCAGATGTTGTATTTTTTACAAACTGAAGGCCAGACCTGGCACCAGCAAGGTTACGGCTTACTTTGCTGCAGTGGTCTGGGACCACACCTGCGGTGTCCCCATGGAGCGCTGACGGTGGATGTGGCATCTCTTTCAGGGCTGTGGCACGGCGTGGCCTTTGAGGACAGCCACCATGGAGTGGGGGAGTCTCCCCCTCGTAGTCTGGCTTGTGCCTTCCTTCCTTGGTCTGCGGGTGACAAGGCTGCTCTGGCGGGCCCAGCAGGTTCTCTGACCCTGGCCGGGTGGCATCCTGGAAGCCGGGGAGGCTGCTCTGTGTCCACGGCCGGGGCCCGAGTGGACTGCCACCTTCCTACCCGTTTGTTCATGCATAAGCACACAGCCCGAGATCCGGGGACAGCTGAGCACCGTCATAAAATGTCACATTTACTGCTACAGTGCTGTTCAGCACAGGACAGGTCTCAGCTTTGACTTCACAAGGGGGTTGTTTAAAAAATTCCAAGAATCCAGCCAATTATGTGGATATTTGTATAAAATTCCCCTTAAAAAAGTTTTTAGGCCAGTTACCTCGAGGCACTCGGCACAGTCCCCCACTAACTGTGGCCCCCGCTGCTCGTTCCACTCTGGGCTGACCTTTACGTACTCATGTGTGACTTAGACACTAAATCTGAACGTTCTTGGGCCCTATCTGGACCTATAGGCAAGACCAAAAGCAAAGTAAGAGGGAAAGTGAGGCAGGTTCCCCAAGCGACAAGACCCAAGCAGACCAGAGGAGTCACCAGGTGGAGTCTCCTGTCAGCCAGTGACTCCTTGCTCTCCTGAGGTGTCTCAGGGGAGGACCCCAGGGGAGGACCCAGGTGACATCAGGGGTCGGAAGGTAGCCCTGGCCCCAAGCCCAGGTGCCCCGCCTGCTTTGCCTTGGGGTTCTGCCAAGCTCCTTGCCTCAGGGAGCTCCGGCCACAGAGGGTCGGGTGGCCCCAGTGCCCTGGGAGTGAGGATGGGGGCCGTGGGCAGAAGATGCCCGAGATGCTGGGGGTCGGGCAGCTGGCCTGGGAGTCCTTAAGGCCTGTATGGGAGAACATGCTGTAAAGGGAAACCGAGACCCCAGCAGGCATCACCCTGCACCTGCGTGACATGTAGGGTGACCGGCCATCCTTCCCCTGGGAACTGCAGGGGGTTAAAGGACCCAGATGTCTAATCTGGGAGAGCCCCGCATGGCCCGGGACGAGCTGGTGCCCCTCGTGACGTGTGACCAGAGTGGGCCATGAGGCCCACCCTCCTGGCTTTGCAGCGGGGCAGGTGCACAGCCTGGGCTCAGGGCCCCTGGGACTTCTGTCTGCCCGCGCATGCCTTTGGCCCATCGCCCAGGGCGGCTGCTCGGTGCAGCTGGCCTCGAGCTGCAGCCCAGGGGCTTGGGTCCCCAAGTTAAAGAACCCTCGGCACTGGGTTCCAGCTGTGCGGTCCTCGTGCCTGAGGACAGCGGTCCCGACGGAACCCACACCTGGCAGAGGCTGTGGGCCCAGCTGGCCGTGGGAGGGGCGTTAACGTGGGCCCCTTGGCCTCTTCACCGGGAGGGTCAGGTCTCCCTGCAGACACCTCACCCCAGGGAGCCAGGGTGTCCCCTTCCCAGGCAAAGCCCACCCACCACTTTATGCCAAACCAAGAAAACCGCCAAAAAGCAGAGGAACCCCTATCCGTCCTCCCTGCGCCCCACAGCCAAGCCCGGCGGGGGGCCTCGGGTTTACGTGGGGTCTTTTCAGTACAACCTTTAACGACGTGGCTGATCGTGAAATGCAACGCTCAGAGCTAGAAACAGCAGCAGAAATAGCAAGAGACATGAAACTTTTATACAAAAACATTTGTTGCTTACAAAACATATGCAAAAAAAGCTAAAAAAAAAAAAAAAAAGAGGCCGAAGGCTTCATCCTAATTTTCTTCTACATTAAAAAAAATTCTTATAACTAACGTTTTTATTTTCCTTAAAAAAAATATCAAGCATAGGCACAATTTGCTGGTGGCTTCCCAATAAGCCAGTTTGCACAGCGTCTCCAACGAGTGGTGTGTTTTAATTCTCTCACGTTTTATACTTAAGGCATTATTTTCCTTCTCTGGCAAAGTGTATATTTCTTCCTCATTTTCCAGTTTTTGCCAAAAAACAAAACAAAACACGCTCCGTCTGGCCAGGGCTTGGGTGGCAGGGCCGAGATGTACTTTCAGGATCCATCGGGTGTCACAGGGCATGGGGGTGGCTGAGACCTGGGGGTGGGGGCGTGAGGCTGGTGAGGGGACTGCAGGGTCCCCGGGAGGCTCCCGGACCTGGTGTCGCCCCAGAGCTCCGTCACTCAGAGCCTCCTGAGGTGGGTGCCGGATCAACGCTGACCACAAGTGTGTGGGAGGTGTGGGCCGTCTGGTCCAGGCCGAGGACGGCCCAGGCACCCGGGATGCGTGCTCCAAGTTAGACTGAGGTTGGGTCACTTGTCCCGTAGCAGCATACCTGTCACAGGTGTCCGGCAGGGTTGTGGGCCTCACTCAGGCCCGGGTGGGTGGCCGAAAGCACCAACTGGGGGTCTCCGACCACGCCTGACACCTTCTCTTCTTCCCGTCGCTTCAAGCAGGCTGCTTTGGGGTTCAGGTTACGCTCTGGGGGAAGGGGAGAGCACTGTGGGAGAGGGTCCCCAGAGAGAGGGGGCAGGGAGCGTGGCACAGCACCAGAGGCAAGACCCCTGGCGCGGCCACCTCCATCTCTCTACTTGACCCCTTCGCCGAGGCTGTGCAGGGCTTGGGGTCATCAAGAGCAGGCCGAGCGTCCAGGACATTCCGGGGACGTCGGAGACGGAGGTGTGGGCAGCCCTGGCGAGGCGCCACCGGCAGGCGGGAGGGGGGGGCGGCGGGACCCGCGGCCTGGGCGCCTACCTCGCACCTGCTGCTCCAGGCCCAGGATCACCTGCACGGCCTGCTGCAGGATGAGCAGCTTGGTCTGCGCCTTGTCCGACTTCAGGTGCAGCTGGCACATGCGCCCCAGCTCCCGGAAGGCCTCGTTAATGTCCCGCACGCGCACCCGCTCCCGCGCGTTATTGGCCATGCGCCTCTCCCGGTCCCTCAGGTCTTTCTCCTCCAGGGACAGCACCTCCTCCGTACTGCTGGGTCACAGCACCAGGCCTCCGTTAGTCACGGGTGGGCATGACGGGATGGGGGGCAGGGCCGGGGTTGTGCAGAGGGCGCCGCCGTGAGTGTGTGTGCCTGCGTGTGCCACGTCCACGGGACTGCGCGCCTGGGGCAGGCCGAGGCGCTGTGCCTGTCTGACCATGTGTATGGTCACGTCTAAGGGACGTGACTGAAAAAGAACTGTCCCCGAGGACGTTTCACGAGGATGCAGGTGGGCCTCAATTTCCAGCTGTCTCTGCTCCTCCCATGGGCCCTGGGGCCTGCCAGGAAGGAGGGGAGACGATGCGCTCCCCCAGGTCCGAGTGGCTGGGAGGCTGAGCACTCCCAGCCTGAGCAGCCAGGGTGGAGGGGCGCAGGGGGTGTACCCCGCAGGCAAAGGCCTGGGGAGGCATCTCGTACTGGGAGTGGTCTGGGCACCCAGTCCCATGAGGAGCCGAGGGCTCACACCCTCCGAGGCACCCACTGGGTCGGACCGCCCCGAGAGCCCTGCCCACAGGCCTCCATGCCAGCGGGGGGGCAGCAATGACCTATAGGGTGCCATGTGCCCTGTTCAGACATTGCCTGCCTGTTCCGTGGCCAGCCCTGGCTCTAACAGCTATGTGGCCAAGTGGCTTTGGAAAAGTGATCTTGCTCTGTGCCCATTTCTAGGTGCCATCGGGATGCCTGCTCTGCACGGCCACAGCGATCTACAGGGGGGGGCCAGCCCGCGGCACGTGCCCGAGACGCTGTACCCTGCCTGGGCCACCCTGTTCCTGTGCGGCCCACACCCTGCCTGCGGGCCCGGAGCCCAGGACAAGCGCGCAGACCAAACTGCCAGCCAGGCCCGGAGACTGATGCTCCCGGTGCCCTTTCTCCCCTCAAGTCCCCGTGGGGGGCTTCGTGGGACTAAAGGGCCTGAGGTGGCCTCCTGCCGTCCGGTGCTTGGGCAGCAAGTGCGAGGTAAGGAGGGGCTGCCGGTGGAAGCAGGGACAGACAGCCGGGGGCGAGGGGGACAGTGCGAAAGGCAGAGAGCAGGGGGGCGGACGCGGGGGACACGGCGTGACAGCACACTGAGTGCAGATGCAGAAGCCTCAGAGCTGAGAAGACAGCACAGGGCGGGCCGGGACCCCAACTCCAGCACAAGCGACAGAGCTGCAGGAGAGAAAGGTTAGCGGGTGCAGGGGGGGCGGGCGTTCAAGCAGCAGCTGAAGGAACATGGGGCCTTTCTGGTCCCTCTTTCCAGCAGACACGGGCCTTCTGCTCAGAGTGGTGGTGACAGCCCCTGGACCCCGGGGACAGCTGGCCAGGCTCTGGGCTTCCTAAGAAGGAAGGGCCGGGCAGGCAAGGGCCCCTGGGCGGTGGATGTAGGCCTACAGGGCCAGGGCTCCAGAGCACTGTCCTTTTTTACGGAGGGACGTGGGGGCCAGACAGAGGGCCACCGGCTCAGGGAGAAAATGGTCACTATGGGGCGGACAGTCACTGCGGGGGAGATGGTAACCATGGAGAAGACAGTGTCACTATAGGGAGATAGTCACTGTGGGGGGAACAGTCACTACAGGGGAGATGGTGACCATGGGGAGAAGGGTGGCACTACAGAAAGATGATCACTGAGAGAAGAGATGGTCACTGTGGGGGGGACAGTCACTGCAGGGGAGATGGTGACCACAGGAAAGCAGCGTCACTACAGGGAGACGGTCACTGTGAGTGGCACAGTCACTGAGGGTGGCACGGTCACTGAGAGGAGAGCTCGTCACTGCAGGGGAGATGGTGACAGTGTGGAGGCAGTGTCACTACAGGGAGACGGTCACTGTGGGTGGCACGGTCACTGAGAGGGGAGTTGGTCACTACAGGGGAGGGATGGTGACCGTGGGGAGGCAGTGTCACTACAGGGAGACGGCCACTGTGGGTGGCACGGTCACTGAGAGGGGAGTTGGTCACTACAGGGGAGGGATGGTGACCGTGGGGAGGCAGTGTCACTACAGGGAGACGGCCACTGTGGGTGGCACGGTCACTGAGAGGGGAGTTGGTCACTACAGGGGAGGGATGGTGACCGTGGGGAGGCAGTGTCACTACAGGGAGACGGTCACTGTGGGTGGCACGGTCACTAAGAGGGGAGTTGGTCACTGGGGGGGGGATGGTGACCGTGGGGAGGCAGTGTCACTATGAGGACACAGTCGCTGCAGGGGGGGAGCTCTGGGAAGGCGGGGAGAGAGCGCGGCAGCGGCGACGGGCGGGGAGCGGCGCCCCCACTGACCTCGCACCTGCTGCTCCAGGTTCAGGATGACCGACACGGCCTGGTGCAGGATGAGCAGTTTGGTCTGGGGCTTCTCACTGTTGAGGTGCAGCTGGCACATGCGCCCCAGCTCCTTAAAAGCCTCATTGATGTCTCGGACCCGCAGCCGCTCCCGCGCGTTATTGGCCACCCGGCGCTCCTTCTCCCGCTCGGCCTTCTGCTCTGGGGGGAGAAGGTCGTCCTGGTCCTCGTCCGGGCTACGGGGCCGGGCCAGAGGGAGACAGTGAGGCGGGGGCGGGCGCCGGC